ACATAATTAAATTAAAACAATTATAACAAGAACTACAATAACCTCCTCCTGTTCCTTCCTCTGTTCATTGAGTGTTGCCCTTCAGTAATGACCACACTGGGTGCCCACCCTGTGGCAGCCTGCAGTCCCTATAAACCCACTAACTGGCTGGGCCTTTCACTTTTCCAGATTGGCATTTTAATTGGACATTTAACAGACATTTTAAATCCCCAAGTCTTTATGATTTAATTGGAAACCAATAATGAGAGGATTAAACCCTGTGATGTCAGGACTGCCAAATGGGATTCCTTTTTAAGGGCAGACTGTCAACCATAGATCCTATAGGCATTATGCCCTTTACGGGATGATGTCTTCGTCTTCTGTTTTATAGGGGGAGAGGGGTCATATGTTACCCTTTTTTACTCCTCCCAGTTGAAAAGATCTCACCTGCCATGACTTTGATGTTCAATAATTATTTTTATTATTATTATTTGCTCTTGTTATATTGGGAGGAAGTCACACACACACACACACACACTGAAACAGAAGAAAAATAGGCTCTGCAAGGCACTGCACCATGACATGTGGTTATTGAGAAATATGGTGCTCCACCATCCCCTACACCCCTTCCTCACGTCACCTTGACCCTGAGAATCCCCTCAGGGTAAAAGAGTTCAAGAAATAAATATAAATAAAAAGGTCCTTGCTGTTTCTATGGTTTCAACAAACTTCTCGTTCCCTTGTCAACTATTTTAAACTGTTTTCACCCAGTTGCAATTCCTTTATCCCTTTCACTGAGGCTGCTAGATTCCCAGCCTTCAGTTCCCCAGCATGTTCCCCACAGGGTTTAAGCCATTCCCATGTTCCTTCACGTATGACTCTCCCCTTTCCTTTCACTGAAGGGGTTCCCCGGTGGAACATGGCATTCCTCTGCTGTCCCTCCCTCTCTTCTCCCCGCTTGGGGATCTCTGGATGTATTCCACCCCTCTGCCACTGACTCCCCCCTGCCGGCTCCCAGCTCCCTCTTTTCAGGGAGTCTCACCCCTCTGAGCTGAGCTCCCTCTCACCCACCACAAGTTGCAGTTCTCCGTCTGTGTCCAGCCCCTCCAAGTTGGATTCCTTCCCCCTGGCTCCCTGGCAGGATTGTCCGGTCATGTCCTGCCCCTCTGTGCTCCACTCCTTCTCCCCAGCTCACAGCAGGGACTTTTTGGGTGTGTCCCACCCTTCCAGATCCAGCTTTGTCTTCCCAGCATCAAACAGAGACTCCCCAGGCATGACCCGCACCTCCGTGATTGGCTCTCTTTCCCCAGCTCAGAACAGAGAGCCTCTCTCTCCTCTCCCAAAAGTCTCTCCTCCCTGGCTGTGTTTCCCATTTGGGGTTAGGTCTCCCTCTGGATGAGTGGCTGTTGGCTGTTCTTTCTCTCTTCTGAGGTAAGTATGGAGGGAGAGGACAGGAGTTGGTTCCCTGGAAATTCCCTTCACTCAGTCCTTCTTCTCATGCATGCCAAAAATCTTGCTTTTGGGAAAAAAAAAGCTGTGCTCTCAGGGCTGTTTCTGCATAGAACAGGTAATGAAAATTATATCCTTCTGCAAGTGGCCTTTTCTTCGTTTATTTCTAGCATTACTGACAAATATATATTGGGAAAACCTTCAACCTAAATGCTCCATTGCAGTCAGTAGAAATTTATAGTTCTTATACCAACAAGGCATGTCTACACAAGATGTGTTAATGTGTATTAGCCTAAGTTAATGCCCATTACGGGTATGCACCTACACATGTGCACCCATAATGCACATTAAAAATGGTGAAATGAAACTAGTCATGTGTCACAGGGCAGTAGGGTGCCCTGCTTCTTTAAAGAGGTGAAACTGCTAGGGAAAGAGCCCTAGCAGTGAG